TCCTTCCTGCCCCATCCTTCCTGCACCATCCTTCCTGCAGCATCCTTCCTGCACCATCCTTCCTGCAGCATCCTTCCTGCAGCATCCTTCCTGCATCATCCTTCCTGCACCATCCTAACAATTTTTGTTTCACTTGAGTCCATTGTTGCTGTCATTTCGCCAGTCCATCTCATTGAGGGTCTTCCTCTTCTTCCTGACCCTACACTTTACCAAGCATGACGTCCTTCTCCAGGGTCTGATTCCTCCTGATAATGTGTTTGAAGTATGAGTGACGAAGTCTTATCATGTTGGCTTCTAAGGAGCATTCTGGTTGTACCTTTTCCAACACCATTTTGTTTGTTCTTCTGGCAGTCCATGGTATTTCAGTATTATTCTTTAACACCATAACTCAGATATAAATACAATATAATCTTAATTTGTTGTTGTTAAGTGCCGTCAAAGGAGCTCTGGTAGCGTAGTGGTTACGAATCGGGCTGCTAATCTCATGGTCAGCAGTTTGAAACTACCAGCTGTTCCGCAGGAGAAAAATGAGGCATTCTGCTCCTATAAAGATTTACAGCCTCAGAAACCCTGTACAGGGTTGCTATGAGTCAGACCTGACTCCATGGCACATAACAACAACAACAAGTGCCATTAAGTCGGTTCCAACTCATAGTGACTCTATATAGCGTTTCTGAGGAGCATCTGGTGAGTTTGAACCACCAGCCTTGTGGTTCGAAGCAACCTTGTGGCCCAGTGCATATCCTATAGTGCCACATGAGGACTCCGTAATAATGATAAGCAAATGAATGAACCAAGCTCTCTTTTTATTTCAGGAATACAAATTGGCCCTTTTACAGTGCTATGGGAGATATCTGCAGCAGTTCAGCACCAACTTGGATGAGACCAAAGCAGATGTGACTCAATTCAAAACCGTGTTTTTTCCAAATGGCTTTGGAGATGAAACAGCTGGGCTTACAGTAAGATGAAAGAAACAGCAAAGCTATGCATTCAATGATTAGTTATGCAATGTTGCCTTTAGTTGACAACTTGTAGAATGTCTTATTTGCTTTGTAAAGCATCTAGCATCTAGCTGTGTTTATAAGTTGCTTAATATTAAGAGAATTGCTGCCATTGATTCACTGAACAGTTACCATGTGCTAGATACTATTCTGAAGGCCTTGTAATTATCATCTCTCAGTCTCACTACAGTTCTAGAGATGGGTACATTTATGTTTGCTTTACAAATGTGGAAATTGAAGCTTATTAGAATTTAAGAAACTAACCTTCTAAAGCCAAGGGGCTGGCCTGGCGTTTGAACCCTGATCATGCATGGGTTATTCCAAACTTGATCATTACTCAAGGCCTCAGAAGCAGCATGTGGTTTCATAAGCAGAAAATCTCAAAATATATTTGGGGGCAGTTGAACAGTTTTACTTTGGATGTACCATAAATGAATGAATGAGATTGTTGTTGTTGTGAAGTGCCGTCAAGTTGGTTCCGACCCATAGCGACCCTGCATAGGGTTTCCAAGGAGCAACTGGTGAGCTTGAACTGCTGACCTTGCAGTTCAAATGGCTTTGCAGTCTGGCGCATTAACCCACAGAGCCACACCAGGACTCCTACTACTAGGCAATAAATTAAGAAATGTAGTTTAGAGCCCCATTGGAAAGTATACTGCATAAAAATGTAGGCCAGTGCACTGTGGAACCCCTCTGTTTGGAAATCTTTTACCCTGGACATATTTGGTTCTCATTCTTTCTTCCTGCAGGTCTCTTGCACATGCTGCTTTATTTTTCTGTCTTGCATTCATTATCACCTGTTAGATTATTTCTATGATCTGCTTCCCCCTCTAGAATGTGGACTTCATAAAGAGGGGGATCTCTGTATCTAATGCCTAGGACAGTGCCAGGCATGTAAGAGATGTTCAATAAGTATTGAATGAATGAATAAGTGAAGTGATATAGTCAGAAGTTTTAATCCAGAAGTAGTATGCAGGCTAGATTAAAAGAAAAAAGACTGGAGGTAGAAGGTAAGAAGCAAGGAAGCCTAGCTAAAACTGCATCAACAGGTCTGTGTGTTGAGGATGGAAAGATAGGAAGAATTCTGTTGCCAACCTGCTAGATTTTTGGTACTGACAAGATACCGATGCTGCTGTAGTCTTCTATAAATATTTACAAGTGCTAAACTATTGTTGTTGTTGTTAGGTGCCATTAAGTCAGTTCCAACTCATAGCAACCCTGTGCACAACAGAACAAAATACTGCCTGGTCCTGGGCCAGCCTCATATTTGTTGTTATGTTTGAATCCATTGTTGTCAGTATGTCAATCCATCTCCTTGAGAGTCTTCTTCTTTTTCACTAACCCTCCACTTTTCTAATCATCATAATCTGCTCCAGGGACTCGTCTTTCCTGAACACATGTACAAAGTAGGAGAGACAAAGTCTCACTAGTCTCAAGTCTAAGGAGCATTCTGTTTGTACTTCCAAGACAGATTTGTTTGTTCTTCTGATGGTTCCATGGTATTTTCAATATTCTCCAGCACCACAATTCAAATGCATTGATTCTTTTATGCTCTTCCTTATTCATTGTCCAACTTTCACATGCATATGAGGTGACTGAAAATACCATAGCTCAGGTCAGGTGCACCTTAGTCCTCTTTGCTCTATAAAACTTTAAAGAGGTGTTTTTCTAATGCAGTCTTTTGATCTGTTGACTGCAACTTCCATGAGTGTTGATTGTGGATCCAAGAAAAATGAAGTTTTTGACAACTTCAATCTTTTCTCTGTTTATCATGATATCATTTATTGATCCAGAGGTAAGGGTTTTCATTTTCTTTACATTAAGGTATAATAATATGAAGGCTCTATTCTTTGATCTTCATCAGTAAATATTTTAAGTCCTCTTCACTTTCAGCAATCAATGTCATGTTATCTACGTATCGCAGGTTGTTAATAAGTCTTCCTCCAATCCTGATGCCATGTTCTTCTTATGTAATCCAGTTTCTCAGTTTATTTAATCAGCATACAGGTTGATTAAGTAAAGTGAAAGAATACAACCCTGGTACACACCTTTGCTGACTTTAGATCATTCATTGTCCTCTTATTCTATTTGAACGATTGCTTCTTGGTCTATGTACAGGTTCCTTATGAGCACAATTTTGTGTTCTTGAGTATCCATTTTTGGCAATGGTTGTTGTTTTTGTTGTTAAGTGCCATTGAGTTGGTTCCGACACATAGCAACCCTGAATAGGGTTTCCGAGGAGCAGCTGATGAGCTTGAACTGCTGACCTTGCAGTTCAAATGGCTTTGCAGTCTGACGCATTAACCCACAGCACCACACCAGGACTCCTTTGGCAATGGTATCCATAATTGATTATGATCCCCACAGTTTAATGTCTTTGTGTAGTCCGTCCATAAAGCACAAGTAATCATCTGGTATTCTCGGCTTTTAGTCAAGAGCCATCTGATGTTAGCGGTGATACTTCTGCTGGGTCCATGTCCTCTTCTGAATCCAACTTAAATATCTGGAAGCTCCCTGTCATTGTACTGCTGTAACTATTTTTGAATTATCTTCAGCAAAATTGTACTTGTATGTGATGTTGTTCCATGATTTCCCCATTGTATTAGTTCACTTTTTTTTTTTTTTTTTTTTTTAGAATGGACACAAATATGGATCTTTTCCAACCATTGGCTAGGTAACTGTCTTCTAAATTTCTTGGCAGAAGTGAGTTGAAGAAGCATTTCAATTTGTATTCCATCAATTCCTAGAGCCTTATTTTTCACCAAAAAGCTTGGACTTCTTTCAATACTGTTGGCTCTTGATCGTAGGGTTCCTCTTGAAATGACTGAACTCCAATCAATTATTTTTGATATAGTAATTGTATATTTTTTCTATCTTCTTTTGACATTTCCTATCTCATTCAATATTTTGCCCTTAGAATCAATCCTTTAATATTTCAACACTAGACTTGAATTTTTTTCTTCAGTTCTTTCAGGTTGAGAAATACTTTTTGGTTTTCTAACTCCAGGTGTTTGTACATTTCATTATATAGTACTTTGTCTTCTCAAGCTGCCCTTTAAAAGTTACTGTTCAGCTTTTTTACTTCTTCATTTCTTTCAGCTGCTTTAGCATCTCCACATCCAAGATCCAGTTTTAGAGTCTCGTTTGACATCCAGTTAGTCTTTTCAAAGACTATTTGCTTCCTTTGTGTATGATGTTCTTGAAGTCATGCCACAATTCCTCTGGTCCTTAGCGTCTAATGCATCAGATCTGTTCTTGAGATGGTCTCTATTCAGGTGGGATATGTTCAGTGTCATACTTTGGCTTATATTGAGTTGTTTTTATTTTCTTCAGCTTCAGCTTCTTAAATTGCAATGAGCACTTGGTGGTCTGTTTCACAGTTGGCCTGTGGTCTTGTTTTGCCTGATGGTGGTGAGCTTCTCCATGATCTCTTCTTGCAAATTGTAGTCAGTTTGATTCCTGTGTATTCATTTGGTGAGGCCCACATGCATAGTCACTAGTTATATTCTTGAAAAAAAGATATTTGCAATGAATTGTTGTTGTTGTTGTTGTCAGGTGCCATCGAGTCAGAACCAACTCATAGCGACCCCATGCACAGCAGAACGAAACAATGTCCGATCCTGGGCCAACCTCACTACCGCTGCCACACTTGAGTCCATCAATAATGCCACCTGGCCAATCTATCTCGTTAGGGGTCTTCCTCTTTTTCTCTGACCCTCCACCTTACCCAGCATGATATCCTTCTCCAACGACTGTTTCCTCCGGACAATATGTCCAAAGTAGGAGAGCTTAGCCATCCTGGCCTCCAAGGAGCACTCTGGCTGCACTTCTTCCAAAACAGATCGATTGATTCTTTTGGCAGTCCATGGCACTTTCAGTATTCTCCTCCAACACCACAACTCAAAGGCATCAATTCTTCTACGATCTTCCTTATTCACTGTCCATTGCAATGAATAACTCGATGATATTATAAAAGTCGATCGTGCGATAGCCATAATTTTTCTGTCACCAAGGCCGTATTTCCCAACTTCAGATCCTTCTTTGTTTCCAACCTTTACATTCCAATCACCTGTAATTATCAATGCGTCTTGATTACATGTTTGTTGAATTTCAGACTGAAGGAGTTGGTATAATTCTTCGATTTCATATTTACTGATATTAGTGGTTGATGAGTAAATTTGAATAATAGTGGTATTATCCAGTCTTCCTTGTATGTATATGGATATTATCTTATCACAAACAGCTTTATACTTAAAGTTAGATCTTGAAATGCTCTTTTGGATGACGAATGTGACAACATTCCTCTTCAATTTGTTTTTTCCAGCATAGTAAACCATATTATCATCAGATTCAGAATGGCCAATACCAGTCCATTTCAGCCCACTGGTGGTGGTGGTGGTGGTTATGTACTACCGAGCTGGTTCTGACTCATAATGATCCTGTGTGGGGTTTCTGAGGCTGTTAATCTTTACAGGCCCAGAAAGCCTCATCTTTCTCCTGCGGAGCAACTGGCAGATTTGAACTGCAGACCTTGTGATTAGCAGCCCAGCTCATAGCTAAGCTTACTAATACCTAGGATATTGTTCTTTATGTGTTCCTTTTACTTTTGATGATTTACAGAAACATTATTAATGGATGTGTGCAGGTATTTCTTCTCATTTTTAATTGTGCCCAGTCAGCAACTGAAGGTCTTGAAAGCTTTACTCTTATTAATGTCATTGAGGTTAACTGACTCTACTTTGAGAAAGCAGCTCTTTCCCAGTTATATTTTGAGTGCTTTCCAACCTGGGGGGGGGGGGGTTCATCTTCTGGCACTGTTTTGCTGCTAATAACAAGATTTTCAGTGGCTAGCCTTGAGCAGGCTGCCTCTCTTCCCTCTCAGTCTGTCTTAGTCTAGAAGCTCTGCTGACACCTGTCCACGATGGATGACCCTGCTGGTATTTAAAACACTACTGCCATAGCTGCCAGCATCCCAGCAACACACACCATGACAAACTGACAGACGATTTATAGTTCCATACTATTGTTCTTGGCATATGTGTTGAATATATGGGAGGCTGAAGGAGTGAGTGATAGAAAGAATGTATTAGACATTTAGCCCTGTAGTAACTTGACAGATCAAAAGACCTTCAGAAAATTTTTGTAAGAGAAACAGATTTGAGATTTAAATGCTTAAGGATCATAACTGGAGCAGTTTTGATCATTATGCATTATAAATGATTAAAAAATTGCTATAAAAATACTGACAATGAATTTTGTGCAGATACTTGACAGATGTTATTTAACATCTCCATTGTATTCATCGGGAAAGTCATTTTGTCACAGTCCTTTTGGTATGAATTTGGTCTCAAGAGCAGGCCTTTCTGGATTTGATGACCGGTTCTACTACTTTCTAATTCTGTTGTCTTGCGCAAGTTACGTAATTTCTTTGTACCTCCGTTTCTTAATCTATAAAGTAGAAGTAGCAATGAGTCCTACCTCATAAGGTTGGCTTTGGATTGATGAGATGGTAAAAGGTTTAGAACAGTACCTAATACTAAAAAATATTAGGTATCATCATCCGTTTCCAAAAGAGCTCATCCAGTTTTTAAGTCTCAAATCTATTTCTCTAACAAATGTTTTCCTAAGTCACACAAAACGTATTTGGAATCTTCTATTTTCTCATGTGTTCCAGTTTCATGCTTTAAACAGCAGGAATATTTGCAGCTACCAGCTGGTCTGTGAGAGTGATGAAAACCTGCAGAATAAGGAATCTGTGGTCCAGTGTCTGCACATCTTGTCCTCCCTGAGGCTCATCATGCAGGTGGCTCTGCCACACGAGCACTTCTGCTGGATCATCTTCAATGGTATACACCAGTGGATTCCATTTTTCACTGTTTTTTTTTTTTTTTTCCCAGAAGACTATTTAAATGCTAAGTTTTGACAGTAACTTGAGTACTTTATAGTGTTTTTTTTTTTTTTTTTTTTGAGTAGACCATTGTTTATAATTAGAAATTAAAAGCATTTCTACCCCCCAACATTTGAGGTCAAGATAGCTTCACTAGTGAATTCTGTGAAAAATTTAAGCAAGGAATCATGCAAAGTCTCTATAAAGTCTTACAGAAGATAGGTCAGAAAGAAGTACTTCAATTTAACGCAGACCCAGAATACTCCATTACATTGCATTGCACTGCAGTCAGCCTTCAGACTTCGTCAGCACAGGAAGGGCTCAACCCATCTGTGCAACTTTACATTCAAGAGTCAGTGTATTTCACAGCTTTAACAGAACAAGGTAAAAATGTGGCGCACCTTGTGATTTAAATCATAGCTATTCCATAATAGGATGACTACATTTTCCAATTTTTTTACTGCATTTTAGTTTGCCTTCACAAGCAGTGACCCAGTTTCCTACTGCCGCTGTAGCAGAAACACCACCGGTGGGCTGTGGCTTTAAAGAACAAAACCGTACTCTTTTCATAGTTCGGGAGACTAGATGTCCAAATTCACAGGGTGGCTCTTGGGGAAGAGCCTTTGTTTATTTCAGCTTCTAGTAGCCAGGGTCCTTGGAGATCCTGGGCTCGTAGATTCATCCTCCTCCATTGTCCTCAGGCAGCATTGGTCTCCCCTGTTTGTGGATGCATGTCTCTGGGTCTAAATTGTGCTATACACAACACAGAAGTGATTAGCCTTTAACAGATTGATTACGTTACTTTAGATTGCATTATAGGAAGTGATTGCTTTACATTAAATTAGATCACACCCACCGGTATTTAGGATTCCAACATATGTTGTGGGTTGAGGGCATAATTCTGATGGGGATTTACAAAACATGCCTGAGTTTTACTCTTAAAGAAGGGTCAGAGCCTCTGGGGATAATCAGCTTGAGATGTTTAAAAAACAGCAGCTATAGCACCAGCTGCCCCTAAGGAGTTCTGGTAGTGTAGTGGTTACGAATTGGGCTGCAAACCTTAAGGTCAGCAGTTCAAAACTACCATCTGTTCTGTAGGAGAAAGGTGAGGCTTTCTGCTCCTGTAAAGATTTACAGCGTCGGAAACCCTGTACAGGGTTGCTATGGGTCGGTTCCAACTCCATGGCACTTAACCACCACCACCACAGCACCTACCGCCCCTAGGAAACCCTATACAGAGTTACTATGGGTCAGAACTGACTCGACGGCACTTAACAACAACAACAGTGAACAAGCAAGTAGAAGTGGGAGGGTTAAAAAACTGTTGCTGGATATATCGATTCTAAGCATCATTCATGTATAGATTAGTTTTTTTCTCAATCAGCTTAACTTTCTACATATCAACCTTTTCCTCCTACTCAGAGCTGGAATAGACTTGTTTTTGAGTGAGGAGTTCTGAGAATGTATCATTTAATGATTTTTTTTTAATAGTCTCATAAGAAATGAATCATAGTTATCAAAATGCAGCATTTGATTTTCTTTATTTTAAAGTTAAAATGAATTGCTTACTGTATTATATATTCTTAAAAGACAAGTAACAAGTGTGTTTAATATGCATAAGACCATGATAACCTGAAGTGAAAGAAAACGTATTAGATTTCCCATTGCCCACTTTTAGCCATTCCTTTTTTGCCTATTCCAAATAATTTTTTAATGCTTGATTTAAATTTGATTTTATATCGTTTGTTTGTTTGACTTTTGTTGAGATTTTCAGTCTGGTGATTTCAGCCCATTGACCCTTTGTGCCTGATCACCTCTCAAGAAGGATGCATGATTCCCTGAGCGGCCAAGACTCTCGCGCCACCTCTGTTGCTCATGCATTTTGGCAAGGGCAAAGGCAGAGATTCTATGCCCTAAGGCGGCATAGGGCTGGAGAGTTGTGCTTGTAGGTACAAAGGATGCAGTCCAACTCTTTGTATTTTAGCTTTTCTTTCATTTGATTTATCTGTTGTTGTTGAGAGTATGTATAGCAAAACATACACAACACAATCAACCGTTTCTCCAGCTCAGTGACACTGATTACAGTCTGCAAATTATGTAACCACATTCACCCTCCTTCTGAGTTCTTCTTCCCCCATTAACCTAAAACTACTAGATGGCACTTAACGACAACTGCCCTCTACGTTTACTATCTAATCTTTTGAGTTGCTGTTGTCACTTTGATCCCATAGAGATAATTCCTTAGATTGCAAAAATTTTAAAATAATTTTTTGATACTATTTTTTAAAATTCTGTATCTCTTTCTTTCCTTGATGTGTGTGCTTTTTATTTATCCACATGGTCTTGTGCTCCAGGTTGCATTCTTTTTCTTAAATACCTTTTCACTCATTACCATGGCTTGAGAATCTAGCCAGGTTCCTGTATGTAGCTCTAGTTCTTTAACTCAATCTGCTGAATTAAAGTATAGATACTTCTAGGTGTCTGTATTCCCATGGTGATGAGTACCTGGTTTGCCTTTCTTCTGTAACTGCACAGAATGTTTGCAGTGGATATCCTTGTACATGCCCTTTTATGGCCCTGTGTGAGAGCTTTCTGGGATCTGTGCCTAGGAGCGGGATTGCTGGGTTGTGGGAAATACAGACAATTTAACTACTGTTTCTGTTTTCATGTTAAATTTATCAAGTGTCTAGATGCATCAGGTTTTAGGGACACAGACAAAACACCCTGTTCTCACTGGGTCAGGAGATGATTAAAATTGTAAATTGAAATCTCAAATTGCAACTAGATAATGTGTTTGATGGTGATTAGAATTGTGGAGAAAAGTAAAGTCATGGAGGAGATAGGCAGAGCAGGGACCGGGCTCAGCGCGGGCTGCAATTGTAAATAGAATGGTCATTGAAGGCCCTGTTGAGATGACACTTGATCCAAGACCTGAAGAGGTGAGGAGTGAGAGAGTATCTGGGTGAAGGATTTTCCAACTCGGGGAATGGCAAACGCAAAGACCCTGCAGTTTTAAAACTGGAATTTACGTAGTCAACAATGTTATGTTGAACTGGCTCACAGTTTATCCAGTTAGCTCTTAGTACTCTGTTTCACAGTAATTGACTGTTACACGTTAATTATACATGCAAAACCTTGGAGCTCATGATAGCCAGCTTGTCTTGATTCTTTTATACAATCTAACTAGGTGTATGGATATTGGATAGCACCTTATTTTGCAACTAAATGCAACTCTATTCACATGTTGTTATTGTTAGGTGCCATTGAGTCAGCAACCCTGTGCACAACAGAGCAAAATACTGCCCGGTCCTTTGCCAACCTCACAACTGTTGCTATGCTGCTGCCACGGTGCCAATCCATTTTGCTGGGGGTCTTCCTCTTTTTCTCCAACCATCCACTTTACAAAACATGATCTCCTTCCCCAGTGACTGATTCCTCCTGACAATATGTCCAAAGTATGAGAAACGAAGTCTGGCCATCCTGGAGCACCGTGGCTGTACTTCTTCCAACACAGATCCTCCAATCATTTAGACCCTCAAATAGGTTGTTTTTGTGGTGGCCATCTTTGAGGACTAGGAGTCACATGGTCAGGCCATAAAGTCATATTAGGGACTGGGATCAAATCAAAAGAAATTCTATAGGTATCCTGAGACCATAAAGATTCAGGCAGTTTTCCATTCTATACCATTTACTTTCTCTGCCAGGTTTCGGCAATGGGCATTCATAAGCCATGCCAAGATCCTGAACCACCAAAGAAGGATTCAGTTATATTCAGGATTAACTCGAGTTGGAAAGGGTAAAGGCACATTTTAAAAATACAGAGGGCCCTTGTCATGTTTGAAAGCAGTCTCCTGAAGCCTTTTAAAATTGCCCAGCTCCCCATTACTGACATGTTTATACAGGCTTCTGGCTTATACCTGAATCACATGTTTTGTGGAGAGCCCTGTGTTTCCTGTGCATAGCCCAACTTGATGATTATGATTATTTCTAACAAAGAAACACAGTTACACACGTTTTTTTCTGAGATTAAGAGCAGAAGTCAACAAAAGCCAGTTGAGTTGTGGCTAGCTGAGTGCTCTCTCCTGCAGTGGATGTTAAGTGAAACGAATAAGGGCACGTTACAGGCTTGACTGCATCCTCTATGAAGTTCACAGTGCTGTCAGGGTTTCAGGTTTCAGTCAAGGTGCTTTGTCTCTGCATCATGTGATTAATGTTCACTATGTGTGCAGGGGCATTTTAACCAACAAGTTTTTTCAGCAGCTTCTCTAGTGGAAACGCAAACATAGGATTCATCTTTGTTGAATTTTGATGGTTATGGATTTTAGAACAGATATTTTGTAATCAATGTTTGGATGACTTGTCATTACAATTGCATCCCTTTTTAGAGCACCAGTTTTTTTGAGTGTGCCCATAATCTCAAGATCAGCAGTTTGAATCAACTAGTTGTTCTGTGGGAGAAAGATGATTTACAGTCAGTCTCAGAAGCCCTAGGGAGCAGTTCTGCTCTGTCCTGACTTTGAGTCAGAATTGACTCCATGGTAATGTTGTTTTGTGTGTGGATGTTTAGCAGCATAGTCATGTCCTTTGCATATAGAGAGCTGCCTGGTGTTGGTATCCCATTTCTCCCCCAACCTTGCATCCTTGTTTATTATTGTCCTGACATAAAATCATATTGAGATCTTAAGGAGGTGTTGGGAATCCTGTTTCTCATTGAAGTGTTTATAAGCTATACCTTAATAATAGTATAAATGTTGCTTGAGACTGCGAATGAATATAATGTAACTGATGTGTGTTATGATTTTTAAATGATTACAAATTTGCTTGTTTCATGTTGATTAAATATGCTTTACAATCTTAGTTGGAGACAGAGCTTTAGTTTTTCAGTTACAAGGAAGCCATGGGGAGCACTAACAATTTATATAAATCGGTAGAACCACAGGCTACATAAATTAGACCAGTAAACTATTCTTTTGTTGGGACTATTTCAAAAACTGTTACTGTGTTTAAAATGAGGCTAGAAGTTCCTTGTGCATGCCAATCAGCATATTTAAAATATGGTCACATTAGTTTTTCTTAATGGGTTTCACTAAGTTACAAAAAAAATTACAAGGGTTATAAATCTCCAACATTAACAGACTTCCTCAATAGGTGACGTGTTTTAGGACTTGTAGACTTAAACCATAGGGATTGAAATGTTTGACTATAACACATGTATATTAAATAATCTTTTTCTTTATGCAGGTACCATTTACATTTACACCATTTGCAGAAAACTGATGATGATAGGTCAGTCTTCAAAGGTATGCAATGTACCAACAAAATATTTTCCCCTGTATTCCTTATTTCTCATAAGGATTTACACAGAACATTTAATGTTAATGAAAACAAGAACATTTAGTGAATTCTCTGAACAGTTTTTTTGTTCTTAGCTTTACTTTAAGAATGATTGTATGCCAAAAAAACTGCAGACAGTGAAGTATTAATGAAAAAGGGAATTCCTAACATTGATGAAATTGATACTGAACATCCATCTGGTTACTGATCCTTACATAGGGTGACAGTGCATCCCAATTTGTCCAGGACAGTCCTGGTTTCTGCTTCTTGTCCTGACTTAATTCTTAATAACACCCATGTGTGTTTTCAGAACTGTCCAGATCTGGACATTGAATGATTGGCTACCTTGTTTAAGTCATGCTAAGGAACTTGGATTTCACTGTGCTTGCAGTACTTGGATTTTACTGATGGTCCACATGCTAGTTGGGTTAATGAAAACCTCGACTCAGTCACAGCCTGAGGGCAGGAGCCTTTTAAAAAAGAATTTTAAAAAACAAGATTCTCACTTACTGGCACCACAGCTTAGTTTAAACTTGAAGAGGTTGTTGGCACTTCTACTGACTTCCCTACAATATTGACTGTCTCTGTGTTTGCAGGAGACGTAGTTATTCCCAAGATCTACTGTTCAGTCATTGGAATGAATGTGGGCCAAGAAGGGTGACTATACTCCCATTGAGACCATGCTCAAGTTGTTGCTGGCATCTTAAGATTGCTGCTTTATTTTTGTTTACTGCATGTAAACCTGAACATGAGCATTTTAACCCCTAGGAGAGATACTTTTGGACCTTCATTTCTTCAAAAGATGTCCAATTACATTAAACATGACAACTCTTAAAAATAAAAATGGAAGCAAAGATATTGGCAGGCTCAATGGATAACATCAATTATGTGTTCACTTCCTGCTTTGTCCCTCTAAATAAGCTCTGTTACTGACAACGACGAACTAGCTTCGTGCCAGCTTCTTAAGTGTGAATTGAAGTGAGAGAGAGACTGTCCCATGTATGATGTAAATTTGGCCTACAGACTACTCTAAGGAGTAAACATTCAGTTCCAGATGATTTCCTAAAAAGAAGTTGTGTACTCTTGTTGCACTAGCTGTAGTGACACACACTGCTTACAGAACCATGAGAGTTTGGTCTGCTACAGCGTTTGCCTGCCAATGCTTAGAAAGGGAGAGATGTCTGTGCCAACATCTGATTGTTAGCGTTTGTACTTGCTAATGCCAGGAGAATTTTAATTTAATGTGCTAGTCATCTTAAAATAATTTATTTATAGCTTATATAAAACGTCTCCCCTATCCCAGGCAACTTTAATTTCTCTGAAAAAATAAGGGATAAAGACAGATACTTCTCTGGTCCTGGTCTTCTGAGATACAAGTAGGGGGTAGTGAGGATTGTGAAGTTTGAGGTGGAGGCGGGTGGTTCTAACCTTGGCAATGGAAGATCAGGATGAACTTCTTTCAATTGGTTCAGTATAATAACAACTAAAACCAAACCAAGGCCATTGAGTCGATTCTGACTCAGCGACTTGTATAGGGTTTCTGTATAGGCTGTAAATCTTTACAGGAGCAGATAGCTTCATGTTTATCCCGAGGAGTGATTGGTGGGTTTGAACCACTGACCTTACAGTTAACAGTCTAACTCACAGCACAACCAAGGTATCAGGGAAATTAATAAATTTCATTCAGAAAGTCCCAAACACCCAGCTAGTAAATTGATTTTTGAGCTGAGGCTATAGGTCTAAATGGACTTCATAGGTCCATTTAATAGAGGAGTCCTTAGAGGTCCAGGCATGTCTTGAGTCCCTTTGGATCTGAAGGATTCTGACTCTGTTGCTGCCTGAGAGCTTGAATATGGTCTAGCATCAACCAGAAGTAGAAGACGACATAGTATCTTCAGTGATTTCCTTGTGTCACTTCAGAGCAATCCAAACTTCTATTGATAAAAGGTCTAGACATTATAGTTACCATTTGTTATTATGACTGAATCCTTACTGTGTACCCAGGCACTATGCAAAGAGCTTTGCAGATACAGTAATAATCACCGTAGTCTTAAGAGTTTGGTACAACCACCATCATCATTAATTAATATTTATTTGATGCACTGATGACATTGGCAAAGAACAAAGTACTGGGAATTGATGGAATACAAATTGAAATCTTTCAACAAACTAATGCCACACTCATCTATGCCAAGAAAATTGGAAGACAGCTACCTGGCCAATTAATTAGAAGAGATCTATACTTGTGCCCATTCCAAAGAGAGGTGCAGGACCAGGCAGTGTTTCCTTCTGTTGTACATAGCGTCACTATGAGTCGGAACTGACTCAGTGGCAACCATAGCAACATAGTCTCTCAGGTGTGCTTCTAAGCTTTGCCATGTATTATCCTATTGAATCCTCACCCGGCCACTTTCAGGAAGATACGGTTATTGACCCATCTTACAGATAGGGAAGCTGAGGCTCAGAAAGATCAATCTGCTCAAGATTGCACATCTAGTTAAAGGTGCAGCTGTGGCTTGGACTGACACTACACTGAACTGCCAATCAGCACCATTAACCCCTGTCTGTAGACTTACCGACTCCATGGCAGTGGGTGGGAGTTGACTAAATTGAATCCTGTAGTGGAAACCCATCCCATTTTTCTTCACTTCACAAACGGAGGAGTAGTATGGAGCAGTAAGGAGGTCTTGGTCTTTTTTGACATGATCCTGCATTCCTAAAGAGATCCAGGTGACCAACACTGCACAGAGGCTCTTCCTGGGTAGGAAGCACTTTGTACACTACTTAGGCAGGTCTTCAGCCTGTGTTGAGGGAAGGTCAGATTTCAGAGTCCTCTTTCTCTAAAGACATAAGGCAGACAGCTTTGCTTTTGATAATGGTTTAGTGTATCCTTTCTTTGGTGGCATTTAGAGCTACATTTAGAGCTTGTTGTGTTAGATACTGCTGGGTTGATTCATAATCAGCCTATGTACAACAGAACAAAACACTGCCTGGTCCTATGCCATCCTCACACTTGTTGAGCCCATTGTTCCACCCCCCAAGTCAGTCTATCTCCTTGAAGGCCTTCATTTCACTGCTTTTTGTTGTTGTTAAGTGCTGTCGAGTCAGTTCTGACCCGTTGTGACCTTGTATAGTGTTCCTGAGGAGCAGCTGGTGAGCTTGAACTGACTTTGCAGTCCAGTGCAGTAACCCACAGTGTCACACCAGGACTAAAGATCAAAGACAGTAAACTCTATTTATTCTAAGAAACCATTGATTTCTGTTTTGTTTTGCTATAAAACTGAATTGTTTGGTAAAACATAACTTGGACGCATTGTCAAATTATTCTACATACCTCTGTCCAAACCCACTTCCATTGAGTCAGTTCTGATTCATAGTGAGCCCATAGGACCGAGCTGTCAGTCTGCATGGAAGCGTAACCCAGTGTCTTACCAGAGCTCCTCCACTGCATCATATAAACCTTAAATCCAAGTCTTGTAGTGCTTTTTCGTGGCATTTCCCTCAATGATATGTTGTTGTTAGGTGCCATGGAGTCAGCTCTGACTCATAGCGACCCTTCAACAGAACAAAATGTTGCCCAGTCGTGGATTATCCGTACACCTGTAGCTGTGTTTGAGTCCATTGCTGCGGCTGCTTTGTCAGTCCATCTCGTTGGTGGTCTTCCTCTTTTTCACAGATCCTCAACTTTACCAAGCATGATGCCCTTCTCCAGTGACTGATCCTTCTTGATCACATACTCAAAGTATACGAGAGAAAATCTTGGCATTCTCTCTTCTAAGGAACATGCTTGACGATAATAACTTCTAATACAGATTTCCTTGTTCTTTCGGTAGTCTCATGTATTCAGCATTTTTCACAGATCCATAATTCCAAGGAATGATTTCATTTTTGGGCTTCCTTATTCATGATCTAGATTTTGCAATGCTATAAGCTGTTATAAATGATGCTACAGTGCCACCTTCTGGCTGATCTGATTAATAACGAATTGGCAGATAATGTCCTTTTCCTCATTGACACCATAACCACGCTCTTGCTGGGCCTATATATTGACTATGGACATAACTTACGTTTTCAATGATTTTTTTTTTTAATGCAAAGAACAATGCTGTGCATCAATGTATATATATTTTTTATTAATGAGATTTTTTTTTTTTCATTTTGAGGGGCAAGGAAAAAATGCTATAAATTGATAGCTAAGTTTTGTAAGTGGCTTTTCATTTTAAAGTCTGATTAATGATTTTCAGAACAATAAGCAGTTTTTAAAGAGTCCTGGTAATGTAGTGGATTACGAGCTGGGCTGCTAACTGAAAGGTCAGTAGTTTGGATCTACCAGCAGTTCTGTTGGAAAAAGATGAGCCTTTCTGCTCCGGTAAACCCTACTATACAGGGTCGCTATGAGTTGAAACCGACTTCATGGCACACAGCTCCCAAGCAAACTTCTCCTGTTTGTCAAGGCCACACCATGTAGCAAAAAGAGCACTTGGAGTCTAAAGACCTGAATTCCAGCTCCAACTCTATCATCTTCTAACAGCTATGCCTCTTGGAGCCAGATTAGGTGTCCCTCCTGACTCTGAAATCACATTTTAGCACTTTGGTTCCATATCTAAAGCTCAAACCGAAAATGAAATGAACAACCTTTACCTGAAGCTATATATACTTTGAAATGTGACATTGTGAATACCAGGAGTTCTGAAGGCTTCTGGAAAGAACATTTTAATTTAAAGAAATATTTAGACACAGCCCAATTCCACATCCCCCAAACCACAACAACTCAAATGCAAAAACCCAAAATAAAGGCTGTTAGGGAACAGTATGCAGATGTGAGAAGTATCCATGAGGTTTTGCTGACTGTAACTCTGTACTGGCTAAAAGTGTGACAAGGTTAGCAAGCAACAACTACAACAGCAACAATGAAAACGGCAACAAAGCAGCCTCAGGTCACTTAGGATAGGGGTAGACCAGGGACTGGAAGTTTCAATGCACTGTTGCCGCCATACATTCTTAAAGGGACATTGGCAACATGGAGGAAAGCCATGAGGACCACTCACAGTGGAGGAGAAGGGGAGGCCTGGAGGTACCTAGAGCTATTTATCCTGCAGAGAGAGGTGGATGGGAGCAGGCTGCAACAGGCGTGTTCAGATTCTTGGTGGTGGTAGTTATGTGCAGTGGAGTCAGTTCTGACTCATAGCGACCCTGTACAGGGCTTCCGAGGCTGTAACTCTTTACGGGAGCAGAAAGCCTCATCTGTCTCCCACGGAACAGCTGGTAGTTTCGAACTGCTGACCCTGACGTTAGCAACCCGATTCGTAACCACTACACTATGAGAGCTTAGAAAGCTGCGTTTTAGAAATAAGCTTGAAGGCATAACTTTTTTGTTGTTGTTAAGTGTCAGTTCCACTCATAGCCACCCTGTGTAGGATTTCTGAGAAACAGGCTGTTGAGTTTGAACCACTGATCTTGAGTTTCAAACCGACTTTGTAGCATAACTAGGCATAACTTGGAATGGCAAACTGATGATGTGTTCCTATATCATCAAAGTGGTTTTCATTTCAGGCTAAGGCAGTCCTTTTCATGGCTAGAATTGTCTTTTAGTGTTTCTTAGTTATAGGGTTTATGGGAAGACTATGTCTCAAAAGAATTGTCAATAATTTTGCAGGGGAAAGTTATTCAGCTAGGCTAGTATAGAGGCTGTGTTATATGGAATCTCACAGCTAGATCAATAGCAGTGATGATAATATTCCCACCATTGTGTTTCAGATCACACCTTAGAAATAACAGCAGTGGCAGGGAGTCACACCATTTATGGAGCCATAGTGGTTAAGTGCTTAGCTGCTCAGTGAAAGATCAGCAGTTAGAACCTGCCGGCTGCTCTGTAGGAGAAAGCTGTGGCAGTTGACTTCCATACAGAGTTGTTGTTGTGAAGTGCTGTCGAGTCGATTCCGACCCATAGCGACCCTGTATGGGGTTTCCAAGGAGCAGCTGGTGAGCTTGAACCACTGACCTTGCAGTTCACACGACTTTGCAGTCTGACGCATTAGCCCCACAGCGCCACCCCAGGACTGCTTCCATACAGAATTACAGCCTTGGAAACCTATGAGGCCGTTCGATTCTGCCTCATTGGATTGCTGTGAGTTGGAGTCAACTCTCTGGCAGTAGTTTTGTTTTTGTTTTTCATAGTGTGTTTACAGTGTGCCACACAGTGTCCTAGCTCATCATGTGTCCTGCCCCTTTCTCCATTACTGCACTGCTAGGATGTGATAAAGTACCCATTTTACAGATGAGAAAATTGTGGTCCAGGGAGGTTAAAGTCACACAGCTTCTAGATGGTAAAATTGGAACCAAAACTTGTCTCTATTGATTCCAATCTGGGACTATTTTCACTAACATCATAGGCTCCAGGCTGCAAGACTTTTCAATTTTCCTCTCCCTCCTATACCAGTTTCTTTTCAGACTAATACAGTGGTTCCAGGCTCTCCAAATAATGATTGTATTATTTGAAATTGACTCCTAGACCATTGTTGACTCTGAATAAATATTAATAACAGTGGGCTGAGTTCATAGGGTGGTAACCTTAGAGCTTAGAAGAAAAACATTCTAATACCAATCCTATTAATTTGAGAGTTTGAGTCCTCTAAACTTGTCATTTTTAAATGCTTGTGTTTTCTTGATTCATTGTGTCTCTGTAATAGTTTTTTAAGTGAGAAGTTTGTGTTTGCAAATTTTAATTCTATTATATTAAAGAAAATTCTTATGTATTACTGCATTTTTGAAATGAGCATAAATGCAGTGGTGCCCCTTCCTTCTCAGGCCTTAGAATATCTGCTGTGGGCCAGTATGTGCATGGAGTCCTCGGTGCCCCTCCTGTCTGCCAGGCACTTGACGTGGAGAGCCACACTCTACACCGCTGTCTGCCAGTGCTACTACGACTGCCAGTGTGGTATTCATGGCGAGGTAAGTCACGTTGTCACTCTGAGAACTACGCTGTTTTAAAATGCAACTTAGGGAGCACATTCACCCTTAAAAATAAAACGAAGACAAAAGGTCAAGGCTTCATTTGCAGAAATATTCTTGGCTTCGCCCTTTGTTGATTTCTGTCCATAGTTTCTTCTCTCCTTTATTCTCGATTAGCTTCCAATTTCTTGGCTTCTTTTCTTTTCTGAATAAGGTTTTCTTTATTTTTCCTTCTTCATGATATTCTCATATGCACGCCTATTCCTTCTCTGTTTCAGTTTGTATTCTATACCACCTACTCTCCATTTACGTTGCTTTTCTCTCCTTTCAGTCACCATTTAATATATTTTATTTCTTGTTTTTCCTCTTTTTCTGTATACCTTTTACAGTGAGTACTTGAAATGTGGTTAATTAGTTAGGTGACTGTTGGTCTATACAGAGCCTCTGGATAAAGCTGAAGGGGTTTTATCTCTGTAGGGATGCTACATGTTGGTAAATGGCTTGGTTAGTGGTTAGGGCCTTGGAGAGAATTAGAAAAATGTACCCTTTCCTTTGAGACCGGAAGAGCCGTGGTGGTATAGTGGTTACAGTGCTCATCTGTTAACCAAAAGGTTGGTGGTTCGAATCCACCAGCTGCTTTGTGGGAGATCGATGTGGCAGTCTGCTTCCATACAGATTTACAGTCTTAGAAACCCTATGGGCAGTTCCACTCTGTCCTAAAGGGTCACTATGAGTCCGAAGGTACCAGATAGTCATGGACTTTGAGTTTTTGTCCTTTGGACCGCAAACAACCTTATACCAGTGATGCATGGTTTGGTGAATAGAATGCAGGTTGGATTTCAGCCTCACCCAGCCCCTTGGTGGGAAGCACATAACCTTCACAATTATACAAATAATCTGGTTTGTGACAATTAATAGCACAATTGGCATGCTAAAGGTTTCCTTTACATAAAATTCAACTGTTCAAACTAGTTCTGAAAGTTTGAGTGGTAGCGGCCCATAGACAGGGTAATAGCCTAACTAAGCCATTGTGAGGTACTGTTCTAACTCCAGGTACATTCTCGAGACTTCTCTCTTTCTCTCTTCACACATGCACGCAGACAGAGCACACACACACTTGTTTATATACGTATGCCTATATAGTTAATTTTATTGTACTGTTAGGTGCCGTTCAGTTGGTTCTCACTCATACCGACCCTGTGGACCACAGAATAAAACACTACCCGATCTTGCAGCAGCCTCACAGCTGTGGACCACAGAATAAAACACTACCCGATCTTGCAGCAGCCTCACAGCTGTGGCTATGTTTGAGCCCATTATTATAACCTCTGTATTAATCCATCTTACTGAGGGTCTTCATCTGTCTTACAGACACTCAACTTTACCAAGCATGATGCCTTTTTCCAGAGACTGGTGACTCCTGATAAAACATCCAAAATATGTGAAACAAAGTCTCACCATCCTCTATTCTAAGGAGTATTCTGGTTGTACTTCTTCCAAGACAAGAGTTTTTAGTTTTTCTGAGAGTCACCAACACCATAACTCAAAGGCTGCAGTTACTCTTGAGTCTTCTTTATTCATTTTCCAGCTTTCACATGCAGATGAGATGATTGAAAATACCATGGATCGTGTACACCTTAGTCCTCAAGGTGACCTCTCTCTCTCTTTTTAAAAAACACTTTAAAAGGTCCTTTGCAGTAGATTTGCTCAATGCAATAATATGGCATTTGATTTCTTGACTGCTGCTTTTATGCCATTGATTGCAAATCGAGTAAAATGAAATCCTTGACAATGTCAACCTTTTCTCTGTTTATCATAATTATCATGATGCTGTTTGTTGGTGTATTTGTGAGGATTTTTACTTTCTTTGTTTTGAGGTGTATTTAAGGTTGTAATTAGCCTTTGGTCTTCATCTGTAAGGGCTCCAATTCTTGTTCACTTTCTTCAAGCAAGGTATGTCATTTGTCACACTCCATCTAGAACCTTCCTCCAATCTTAATGTTGTATTTTTTTAAAAAAATGTTTTATTGTGAATTATGTGATAGTTTACATGGGAGAACATTAGTTTTACATTCATCCTATTGTATATTGTTTCACTGCCATGGTTACAATACCCTCCATGCATCATCAACCAACCAGAGGGTATACACTACAAGCCCGCCCCCTGGTTGTCAATACACAGCCCCTCTCCCTCTCTTTGTCCAGAGTCCCCAACTGCTCCATCTCTGTATGTCATTGTCTCTGCCTCCATCTCAGGCATCACTGCTTCTCTGGGCAGGGTCCCGCTCTCTACTCTTCTCCCTTGATGGTCCCAGGGACCTCCGCTCCTAGGCTGAAAAATTAATCACTCCCCTCCTTGCTACAAAATGTCTACCTTTACATTTCCAACCCTCACAAGCAGACCTGATAACAATTATTCACTATTGTATCACAAGAGACCCATCCGCATTTCATTTCATCAGTCCCGCCTAGACAGATTGGATACCACTCAGTGGAGATTCTGCCTTCTTTCACACCCTCTGAATCTAGGTTCCCTCTTGAAAGCTTGTAAGCCAGTCACTTTTTGCCTTTGTAATACTCCCCCCAACCCCCCACCCCCATTTTGGGTAGCCAATGTCCAGGTTGCCCATCCTTGTCTACTCTGTGTATGGAGGGGGTGGGAATGATCCTTGCTGTAAGGATTTGTTCCCTCTTTTGAGCTACTGCATCCATAAGTGTAGGTCACATTCATCAAATTGTATCAGATTACTCTTTTTTTCCTCTTCTTTCTTCTTCTAGTTGAGCTCTGATCATCCAGTCATTGAAGCCAGGTCAAATGGGTATTATCTGCAAGTGTGGGTGTTCTTGTGCATATGCCCTCACTTCTTATCAGCTGGACGCTTCAGTCTCCACTCTAGTCCTCTGTGGCTATGTCACTGACTCTGGGCCCAAGAGTCCCCAGGTCTTGCCACACTGCTGGCCAAACAGGTCTCTACCAGGGTTCACAGTAGTCTATTGAACATTGTAGGGCTTAGCTCGCAGCTTCATTGCTGTTTTTCCATCACTTCCCCTTATCGGTGATGAGCGTGGTCACCAATCAGAGAGTGTATTGGGAGGAGGTTTACAGTGAGGGGACCCGACCACTTGCCTTGATGTCTCCTGGGAAAGCAACTTGCTTGTTCTTGTAGTAACAGTCGGTCTGCCTATGTTGTTTTGCATTTTTCCTGTAGGTCTTTCTTTCAAGGAATATCTTCTGTTCTTCTAGCCACTCCGTGCTGGTCTGCTGCATTCTTCTTTATATGATCCAGTTTCTCAGATTATTTGCTCAGTATGCCTATTGAATGAGTATGGTGAAAAGATACAACCTTGAAACACACCTTTCCGGATTTTAAAGCTTACAATATCCCCTTTGTTCTGTTCAAGCAACTGCCTTTTAGTCTATGTACAAGTTTTGTATGAGCACAGTGAAGGGTTCTGGAAATCCCATTCTTTGAAAAGTTATCCATAATTTGTTACAATCCATAATGTCAAATGTTTTTAGTCAGGCATCTTTCTGTATTCTATTTTCAGCCAAGATCCATCTGATGTAAGCAGTGATATCCTTCACTATACAACCTCTTCTGAATTTGGCTTTAATTCCTGGTAGTTCCTTGTTGATGTACTGCTGTACTGGTTTTTCAGTTATTTTCCACAAAATTTTACTAGAGTTTGATATTAATGCTATTTGATGATTTCCACATTCTGTTGATTCACTTTTCTTTGGAATGGACATGAATAAGGCTCTTTTCTAGTTGGTAAGCCAGGTAGTTGTCTTCCAAATCTCTTGGCATAGATGAATGTGCACTTTTAGCATTGCACCCATTTGTTAAAACATCTCAATTGGTATGCCATCCATTCCTGGAGCCTTGTTTTTACCAGTACCTTTAGTGCAGTTTGGATTTGTTTCCTTCAGTATCATCAGTTCTTCTTAATCATTTGCTATCTCTTGAAATGGATGGATATTAATCAGTCTTTTTTTGGTACAATAACTCTGTACAATAATTTTTGCTACAATAACTTTGGTACAATAATTCCTTCACTTGATGCTTCCTACATTGGTTCCTTCCACCCCCACTTTAACCAGTTTTTGAAAACATTTTATTGTGAATAGAGTGAAGGCTTGCAGAGAAGGTCATTAGTTTTACACTCAACAAAT